TCCATGATGTGAATCTCCTGTTCCACATCCCAATGGTGCTCTGTTGGATTGAGATCTGGTTTCAGTTCAGTGAACTCACTGTCATGTTCAAGAAACCAGTTTGAGTTATTTGAGCTTTTTGACAAGGTGTGTTATCCTGCTGGAAGTAGCCATCAGAAGATGTACACTGTGGTTATAAAGGGATGGAGATGGTCTGCATCAATACTCAGGTAGGCTCAGGCTGTGGCGTTTAAAACGATGCCCAATTGGTACTAAGAGGCCCAAAGTGTGCCAAGTAGGGTTGGGCATCTAAGGTATAATGCCGATCCGATATGCATCTCGATACAAAGTATCCGATCCGATATATTAACGATACATGTGTAGCATTTTGCGATGCAATACGATACGATTTACAGTCTTATCACGATACGATGCGATACTTCAGCACTAGCTAATTAGATCAAGTTTATGTGGTGATGTGAAAGAGGATGCGGTGCCATTGAATGAGTTTGATTATTTATTAACCAAGTAAAACCAAGACTTTTTTACAAACTGGCTTTTCTCTCAGAGCCTGAGTGTCGGTTTACAGTAGAGGGCCATTTTAGAACACATGGCACATATTATTTAAGTATTTCCAAGATAAACAGAAGGTATAAGTGCAATGCATACTAAAAAAAAATATGTGCACTCTTTCAACAGAAAGAAGGCTTACCATTGCACAACAAGAATTGTGATTTCAGTTTTCAACTATGAAAATAAGTTTTACAAAGATGTTTTGCCACTGAATATTCAAAAGTTAACGTTATGAACTAGCAGTGTTATGCTGCTTTTACTTTGAAACATCACTGTCACTGTAAACAACAGGCTAATAAAATAAAATTAAATAAAAATTAAATAAAATTCTAAATAAAAAAAAATGCTTTTTAGAATAGTGCACATCGGTCAGTCACCTTCAGTTAAAGGTTTTTCTTCAGAAATATCAACTGATCAACATGATCAGGGTGAAGCAAGCTACGCTGAGCTGTAACTATATCTCCAGCTGTGCTGAAAACTCTTTTCAGCTGGTACGCTTGTTGCTGGGATGGACAGATATCTCTTTGCTAAAGCTGATAGTAGTGGAAGATCTACTTGCAGTCTCCACCACTGCAACACATCCCCATCCAAACCTAAAGTGTCCCTTTCTCTATATTTTAAGATTTCATCCTTAGCTTTCTCCCTGATGGTCTTTGCTGGTGGTCTTGCACTCAGGAAATCTCCAAACATCTGGTCCATGGCAGTCTTTTTCTTTGGAGGGGCATCATCTACAGAAGAGGGCAGAGGAGGCTCATCAGTTGTGCTAAAAATATTACTTTAATTTACAATCTGAAAATTAGTTCACTAAATTGAATCTTCACTACATATTTCTGTACATTTTTGGCATTGTCTCCATTTAAACCAACCTGTCTTGTCCTCGTTGGAAGGGCTTTTGTCGCCTTCTGTTTCAGCTGTCTGGTCCTCTTCCAATGTGCCTGTTGCCTGGTCTTCATTCGGCATTGCTGTGTCACTGACCTCTTCCTTAAAAATGCATAAACATGTAAAATAATGCATATATTATTCATATTATTCAAATCATATATTATTAGTTCTAAACTGCAATAACAATCTTACTTTAAATGTTCTTACCTCTCCATTCATCTGTACCACCTCTGTTGTTATCTTCATGAATACCATATCCTTGGCATCACTGTCATCCAGAAAAGCCAGGTCTTTAAAACGGGGGTCAAGTGCTGAGGCACAGTGGAGAGTGCCTTCAAGATATGTATAACGGCCATCAAAGTCCTGCCTGAATCTGTCTTTCATATGGGAAATAACCTCTAGATCACTCTCATCTGGTTGGAATTGTCTCTGCAATTTGGCTTGGACTGGAGAGATAATGGAGATGGTGGGATTTTTTTCCTCACTGAGGAGTGTGGTTGCCACTTTCAGTGGTGACATTAATTTGATGATCTCTGGGATCAGTGTCATGTCATCTTCTGTCAAACTGGCCATAGCCTCACGCCTCTTTATCTTCCTGGATAGCAGGGTGTTCAGCACAGCAGGCTGCTGCTCCCAGAAACGCTCCAACATGTCGAGGGTACTGTTCCATCTGGTGGAAACGTCATGGATGAGGTTGTGGTTGGGCAGGTGTAACTGGGTCTGTATTTCACGCAGAACTTCAGTTGCCTTGGGGCTTTTGTGGAAAAAGGTGACAAGCTTCCTAACTTTCACCACCAGCACAGAGACACTGTCCACCTTAAAGGCTTTTTGAGATGCCAAGTTCAATGTGTGGGCGATGCATCTCACGTGTGGGTCCATTTTGGCACCAGCACCAGCCAGGATCATGTTTCTGGCGTTATCTGTGACTAACGCGGGGCTCTTCTCTTCGATCTTCCACTCGCGGCAAACATCCTGAAGTAAAACGGCTAGATTATTCCCTGTGTGAGCCTCGTTGAACACTCTGGTCTGCAAAACGTGGTTTTTGAGAATCCACCCGTCATCTATGTAGTGTGCTGTGACCGTTACATATGATGCTGTAGCGCAAGATGTCCAACCGTCCACTGTTAAAGCAACTCTTTGGGCTTTGTGCAGAGACTCCTCTATCTCTCTTCTGACTTTGTCGTACAGAGCAGGAATCTGTTTATCGGAGAATAGCTTTCGGTTTGGTATCTTATAACGAGGCTCCAAAACATGGAGGAGGTGTTTAAAACCTTCGTTCTCCGTGACACTATAGGGCTGAATATCTTTGCAGATGAACAATGCAATAGCATCTGTTATTGCCGTGGAGCGCGCGGAATTGTTAGCAAGCGGTGCATGGAAAAAACCTTCAATACTTTTCTCACCACTTTTGGAGCTGGTAGCTACAGGTGAATCAGAGCAGGATGCAGGGGCACTGGCAGATGCTTCCTCCACAACAACACCGTGGCGCCGCTTCAAGTGAGATATCAGATTAGTCGTACTGCCCGTGTATTTTACAGATGCGCGGCACAATTTACAAATTGCATTTGTCTTGTCAAGTCGTCCGTCTTTCTTGTAAAATCCATAGTGTTTCCAAACTTTAGATTTAAAACTCAGTGGAGGATAAATTATCTCGGCATCTGACATGTTTGTTTTGCTTACTCCTCGGGCTTCCCGACAACTACCTTTGGGCGCATCACTGGCTTCATCCGCGCAGCTGATACATTGAGTTATAGTGTACACACCCGCAAAGTCCGTTGCTTAGGCCTACTTTATGTAGGTCGATTAAATTATGTGCCAAAAACTATTTCACAACACTTAAATAAATAAAGAAATACATTCTGTATTAAAAGGATAAGCTGTATCTCGCAAAAACCGATGCATCTCGATTTGCTTCCAAAATTTAATTCATCCTCTGCTGCTCTACCGATGCACTCGCATCGTGCACGCGCATGACCGCGTATCGATACATATCGGTTAATCTTCCCATCCCTAGTGCCAAGTAAATATCACACCATTACACCAGCACCAGCCTGAACCGGTGATGTAAGACAGGACGGATCCATGCTTTCATGCTGTTTACGCAGAATTGAAACCCGTCACAACAGGCAACGTTTTCCAATCTTCTATTGTCTTATTTTGATGAGCCGTGTGAATTGCAGCCTCAGTTTTCTGCAGTAAGCTGACATGAGTGTCACCGGTGTGTCTTCTGCTTCAAGATTTCGACATGTTGTGCGTTCAGAGATGCTCTTCTCCAGACCTCGGTTGTAACGGTTGAGTTACTGTTATCTTTCTATCAGCTGGAACCAGTCTGCCCATTCTCCTCTGCTAACCTTTGGCTTAAACAATGTATCTTCTCCCACAGAACTGCAGATCACTGGATATTTTCTCTTATTCGGACCAGTCTCTGTAAACCCTAGAGATGGTTGTGTGTGAAAATCCACGCTCAGTCACTTAAAGGGATACTCCACTTTTTTTGGAAATAGGCTCATTTTACAACTCCCCCAGAGTTAAACTGTTGAGTTTTACCGTTTTTGAATCCATTCAGCCGATCTCCGGTTCTGGCGGTACCACTTTTAGCATAGCTTAGCATACATCATTGAAGTGGACAAGACCATCAGCATTTCTAAAAAAAAATGACCAAAGAGTTTCGATATTTTTCCTATTTAAAACTTGACTCTTCTGTAGTTACATCGTGCACTAAGACCGACGGAAAATGTAAAGTTGCGATTTTCTTGGCTGATATGGCTAGGAACTATACTCTCATTCCTGCGTAATAATCAAGAAACTTCACTGCCGTACCATGAGAGCAGCAGGCGTAATGATATGACGCAGCGCCTGAAAATAGGCCACCTTCCGTCAACACAACGGAACTATTTTCAGGCGCTGCGTCATATCATTACGCCTGCTGCTCTCATGGTACGGCAGTGAAGTTTCTTGATTATTACGCAGGAATGAGAGTATAGTTCCTAGCCATATCAGCCTAGAAAATCGCAACTTTACATTTTCCGTCGGTCTTAGTGCACGATGTAACTACAGAAGAGTCAAGTTTTAAATAGGAAAAATATCGAAACTCTTTGGTCATTTTTTTTTAGAAATGCTGATGGTCTTGTCCACTTCAATGATGTATGCTAAGCTATGCTAAAAGTGGTACCGCCAGAACCGGAGATTGGCTGAATGGATTCAAAAACGGTAAAACTCAACAGTTTAACTCTGGGGGAGTTGTAAAATGAGCCTATTTCCAAAAAAAGTGGAGTATCCCTTTAAATCCCCTTTCTTCCCCATTATGATGCTCAGTTTGAACTTCAGTAGATTGTCTTGATCACGTCTACAAGCCTAAATGCATTGAGTTGCTGCATGTGATTGGCTGATATTTGCGTTAACAAGCAGTTGAACAGGTGTACCTAATAAAGTGGCTGGAGAGTGTGTGTGTGTGTGTATGTATGTATGTTATGATCAAAAATACCATAAAATATCACAATTTAAATGATCTGTTTACTATTTCTTGTCCTGTTCTAGTATTAATCCTTTTTTCCTTTCTTTTCTAGCGACACCTGATGGAATGGTGAGTGGGACTTCCTTGCGTTCTCAGTGTTTTGTTGTGTTTGTAAACATGTGAATCATTGCAGTATTCAGCACACGTCTTTCAGCTGCCTACACAAACACATACTGTAGCGCAAGTTTAGAAAACACGTCACGAACGGGAAACATTGAAAGAGTCCTTGCGTCAGTTACGGTCAACTCTTCATATAGTAACGTACATGTAGCTGCTTAAACACAAGTACAGTCATGATGAATGATTTGTTAGTTAGCTTCTGTAAACTCAATGTCACACACTGAACGCATTTCATTAATATGAAATGAGGAGATGCTGTTTTCAGTCCTGTGATTGTTAAAAGTAAAAGACACCTTTAAGTTTTTAAGTCAAAAAAAGAAAGAAAAAAGTATGCTATCTGCTCACTGTGCATGTGTTTGTGTCCAGGATGAAGACTTGGACTTCACTCTAGCTGCAGATTTTGAGACCGGGCACTTCTTCCGGGAGAGGGTCATTCCCAGAGCCGTGCTTTATTTCACAGGAGAGGCCTTAGAAGACGACGATAGTGTACGTCTACTCTGTTGACTATTAATCGTGTGAAAAATGGGATTGATTATAGTTTTTTTTTTTTTTATATTCAAAATACTGTATATCTTGCTGTATGTGTTTGCTCTGCTTTGGCTTAAAGGGTTAGTTCACCCAAAAATGAAAATTCTTTCAGTAATTACTCTCCCTCATGTTCTCCCTCAAGACTTTCGTTCATTTTCGGAAAACAATGACTACGCAAACAAAAACTACGCAAAGCTTCTAGGTTGTACGTCACGCATCACACACATGACCAGCGTCGGCCAATAGTGAGCGTACGTGTGACGTGCAACCTAGAAGCTTTGCGTAGTTTCACTACGTGAAATATCATGGCCGTACAGAGAAGGAAATGATTAGTTGAATAAAGTCGTTGTTTTTGTTTGTTTTTTGCGCACAAAAAGTATTCTCGTCGCTTGATAAACTTAAGATTGAGCCACTGTAGTCACTCCGACTATTTTAACGATGTCTTTCATAACTTTTGGGCCGGTCAGTTTCGATCCCTTAAGAAGCCTGAGACAGAAGAGTGATCCAGCTCTCAGATTTAAACAAAAATATCTTAATTTGTGTTCTGAAGATGAACGAAAGTCTTACGGGGTTGGAACAACATGAGGGAGAGTAATTAATGATAGAATTTTCATTTTGGGTGAACTATCCCTTTAAAGGGTTATATAGTATTTCATTTTATTGGGATTTATTCTGGAACTTTATTTTAGGCTTGGGTCGTGGGACTGGTCACCTTTTTTATTTTTATTCAGTTGATTTTTATCATTTTTAATCACAAATAAATTAACCTCAATGGCAATATTGAATTAAATATTCAATATATATCACCCTGTTTCTTTGTGAGTACATTTGATTTATAATATTTCTGTAATTCCATGCCGTTTTGCAGTTTGAAGAGGAGGATCTTGAAGAGGGAGAGGAGGAGGTGAGAATCATTCGATAGACAGCCTTATTTATTTTTGGGCAATAAAAAATTAAAAAGCAAAATATCATTGTCATTCAGGACCTGGATGAGGAAGGTGAAGAAGAGGATGAGGGAGATTTTAACACCACGGTGAGAATTTAAATCCTCTGTTTCCCAATTAATTTTTTTGCAATTGATTTAATTTGAGCAATGTGATTTTGGGGCAAGATTTCAGTAGGCCACTTAATATTTTAATGTTTTAATCAATGTCTGCAAGTTCTGCTAGGATATTAGGCTGTTTTAAATAGAATACTGGAAAATAAGTACATACTGTATGCTTCCATACTGTATATACGTGTGTGTGTGTGTGTATATATATATATATATATATATATATATATATATATACACTGAACAAAATTATAAACGCAACACTTTTGTTTTTGCCCCCATTTTTCATGAGCTGAACTCAAAGATCTAAGACTTTTTCTATGTACACAAAAGGGATATTTCTCTCAAATATTGTTCACAAATCTGTCTAAATCTGTGTTAGTGAGCACTTCTCCTTTGCCGAGATAATCGTCCACCTCACAGGTGTGGCATATCAAGATGATGATTAGACAGCATGATTATTGCACAGGTGTGCCTTAGGCTGGCCACAATAAAAGGAGTTCAGCTCATGAAAAATCGGTGTAAAAACAAAAGTGTTGCGTTTATAATTTTGTTCAGTGTGTGTGTATATATATATATATATATATATATATATATATATATATATATATACACGTGTGGCCGTGCACATTTTAGTTTCGACACAACAACAAAACAGTGCTGCTCTGATTAATGCCCGTGCAAACCATGATTAATGCCCGTGCCAACCATGATTAATGCCCGTGCAAACGCGCGCATTTTACGTTTGCCTTTAAATGATCGATTTAAAAAAAAAAAAAACACAGGTGATACCGCTGTTGTCACACGTCGATTAACCTGTGGGAAGATATTCTCACCGTCACATCCCTAATATAAATAAATAAAAGTGGTAACACTTTACAATAAGGTTCATTAGTTAACGTTAATGTATTAACTAACATGAACTAATCATGAGCAATACATTCGTTACTGTATTTGTTCATCTTTGTTAATGTTAGTTAATAAAAATAAAGCTGTTCATTGTTTGTTCATGTTAGTTCACAGTGGGTTGACTAATGTTAGCAAGATTTTAATAAATTAACATTAACAAAGAAGATTAATAAATGCTGTATAAGTGCAGTTCATTATTAGTGCATGCTAACTAATGTAGTTAACTAATGAACCATATTGTAATTTGTTACCATATATATATATATAACAGTATGAAATATGCAGCCACAAACATAGTATGCTACACATGACTTACTGTTTATATTTGAAATCCAGATTTTAATGCAAAAATGTCTCAACTTTTAGCAATTTGAGAAATTTGCATTGTTGGATAGTAGTGTTCTGTTCCAAACATAGCTGTGTCTGAATACTTAAATAGACTTTTATTGCTGATCTGTGTTTGATTGAAGTGGTCTGGATTGAAAGCATTAACTTGTATGGTGCTCATAATCGGTTGCATGCCTGACGTGTAAACCTGTGTGTTTGTTCCTCCACTTCCCCTTTACAGGCATAATTCATTTCTCACTTCATGCATTTCTAGGTAAGAGACACCAAAAGGGATGTGGCTCTCTTTCTCATCAATCTTTCCCATCTTCCCTTTATTTTTATTCCAGTCTTTCTCCTCTGCTTTCACTCTTATGTCACTTTCACATGAGAGGGTTGTGTGTGGATCAAAGGTTAACTGACTGTCATGTTTGGTTTGAAAACAGCAGTCTGGAATTCGGTTCATGTGAACCGCAGTCTGTTACTACTAGTAATTATGTACATTTACATGTGTCTTTCCTAATTGAAAATAGTAATAAAAATCAATGTTATTTTCTTACATAAAACTTTCTACAGTTCAGATATCAGGTTTTGTTGATGTTAGACGATGATCAATAATGTTTAGTAAAGATGTGCAGCACAACTACTTTCATTAACGTTTAAATAGAACTTTTGTAACAGACTAGTCTAACAAAAATCAAAAAGCAATCAAAAAGCGACCTCGTATCTCCAAAAACACAACTTTTCGAAAAATGGGAAAAACAGGTTTTTTTAAATAGTTAAACACTATGTTGTCAAAGTTGATATTGTGGCTTTATAGTCAAACACTTGCATGTGTCATCATATTATTAACGTTTTACCAAAATCAAGCTCAAATGGAGTTACAACCAGCGAACTTTGGAGAATATCGAACATATGTGTTTTTGTCCATCATCAGAACGAGTAACAGAGGCAGTAAGTGCATCACATTACGCTTTATAAAGTTTATTGTAGCTATGTGGCTGATACGTTTTTTTTTCTGTTTTCTATTTGACCAAAATCTCATGTTATTAAAGATGAAGTTCTACACACAGGCTATTTAAGACAGTACTGGCTATGACTCGACGACAAATGCTAGACTAAGATACTCTTCTCCTCTCCTTAAACACACAAAACATCAGCCTTTATAGTATAATTACACTACTTATTCAAAGAACCAGTCCTTTATTTACCCTTGCATTACAAACAAGCAGAGACGGTCCAAAATTTACAGCAACAATGGAGTTACGAAGTTTAGTCACAAGCTCTTTTTAATACTTTTCATTGGTTAAATATCTGCAAAACCCAAAGACAGACGTGAAAGGTAACCAATAGTAATGATTTATGAAAAAAAAAAAAAAAAAGAGGAAATATGGAGACAGCGACGATACATGCGATGTGCTTTCACTGTACATTAAACTTACCGTAAGCGTTCAGTTAATCAACGTTAGCCAACATGGACTCATTTATTAAAATCAACAGGCAGTGCAGGACCAATAGATACAAACTCAATAGCATATTATAAACAATATTCCTCAAATAAAAGTTAGTTAACATAAGTCCACACGCCAAGATAGTGTTGTTCTTTACAACTCAACCTCTTGTGCATCCAGGTTTGAACACACACATGTCGTGTATGAAAAGTAGCTGTACACAAAACCGGTACTAAAAGCTTGACGTATACTGGCAGCTATAGAATATTTAAGGGTATTCTTTTTAAGATATTAATATAGGATCTTGTTGTCAAGCAAGATTCATTCACAAAGTTTCCCCTTTAAATCGGTATAAAACGAGTGCATACAAGATCAGAGGTAAAATTAAATGATTTTGTTTTACGCTCCAGATTGATTAGCAGTAGAAACACAGTTTAGTCGAATAGTCTCGCACATCCCTACTTTCTAGTAGTACTTTGGTGAAAGTATTTCACAGAAGTTCCCTGTAAACGTAAGTTTAAAAGCAGATCAGACAGGAGGACACGACAATCAGACTTGGAATTGGACAAACAAAAGTGTGAAAATGACATTTGTGAAGTTTTTCTTAGACATTGAAGACTAAACTTCTCAATTCTAAATTAACCTTAAAGGTGAAGTACTTAATTTTTTCACAGTAAAATACTTGGCATGACATATTAACCTCTGGCTTAATAGACTGGTGCAGGTATGACATCAGAACCTGGAAGACTAATTCACCGCTGGTTCATCCGTGATTTTCCTATGAGGTTTTATAATGGGCTTATTCGATTTGCACTATATTGCCAAAAGTTTTGGGACGTCTGCATTTACATGCACATGGACTTTAATGACATCCCATTCTTAATCCGTAGGGTTTAATATAGAGTTGGCCCACCCTTTTGCAGCTATAACAGCTTCAACTCTTCTGGGAAGGCTTTCCACAAGGTTTAGGAGTGTGTTTATGTGTGTTTATGTGTTTTGACCGTTCTTCTAGAAGCGCACCTTGTGTTGGCACTGATGTTGGACGAGAAGGCCTGGCTCGCAGTCGCCGCTCTAATTGTTCTATCGGGTTGAGGTCAGGACTCTATGCAGGACAGTCAAGTTCCTCCACACCAAACTCGCTCATCCATGTCTTTATGGACCTTGCTTTGTGCACCGGTGCGCAGTCGTGTTGGAACAGGAACATCCCCAAACTGTTCCCACAAATTTGGGAGCATGAAATTGTCCAAAATGTCTTGGTATGCTGAAGCATTAAGAGTTCCTTTCACTGGAACTAAGTGGCCAAGCCCAACGCCTGAAAAACAACCCCACACCATAATCCCCCCTCCACTAAACTGTACACTTGGCACAATGCAGTCAGGCAAGTCCTGTTCTCCTGGGAACCGCCAAACCCAGACTCGTCCATCGGATTGCCAGACAGAGAAGCGTGATTCGTCACTCCAGAGAACACGTCTCCACTGCTCTAGAGTCCAGTGGCGGTGGCTTTACACCACAGCATCCGAACACCATTGCACTTGGTGATGTAAGGCTTGGGTGCAACTGTTCGGCCATGGAAACCCATTCCATGAAGCTCTCTACGCACTGTTCATGAGCTAATCTGAAGGCCACACGAAGTTTGGAGGCCTGTAGCTATTGACACTGCAGAAAGTTGGCGACTTCTGCGCACTGTGAGCCTCAGCATGCGCTGACCCCGCTCTGTGATTTTACATGGCTGAGTTGCTGTTGTTCCCAATTGCTTCCACTTTGTTATAGTACCACTAACAGTTGACCGTGGAATATTTAGTAGTGAGGAAATTTCAAGAATGGACTTATTGCACATTTGGCAACCTATCATCACAGTACCGCTTAAAATCATTGAGCTCCTGAGAGCGACCCATTCTTTCACAAATGATTGTAGAAGCGTCTGCATGCTTAGGTGCTTGATTTTATACAACGGTGGCCATGGAAGTGATCGGAACACCTGAATTCAATGATTTGGAGGGGTGTCCCAATACTTTAGGCAATATAGTGTATGTGTAATATAAAGCCTGTGGTGAACATAACTTGACTATACTTTGACGTTTTGTTCTACAACGTAAATAACACATCCATAGCGAAAACATGAATTTTGAAGCAGTTATGTTCATTTTTGAAAACGTACGTTTTTAATCAGCTTGGGGGGTGAGTGTGCGTGTAATTTACGCTGTTGAACAAAACGTCAATGTATTAAGTTATGTTTACCACAGGCTTTATTTTACTCATAAATGGATAAAAACCCATTCTCAAACCCCATAGGAAAATCTCAAAGGAACCAGCGGCGAATTGAACTTTCAGGTTCTGACATCATACCTGAGCCAGTCTATAGCATGATTTGGGGGCGGGACTAACCAATGGCAGACAGGGGTGGTGCCAAAACCTTTTTGGAAACAATTTTTCTGCAATTACGTTTGATGCAACTACTGGTGCAGAAATTTCATACTTCACCTTTACCAAACCAAGCATGTATTATGACCGAATTAAACTATTGAACTACTTCCCGTTCCCCAGTGCCTGAACTAATGCTCTTAATCTTTTATCTCCGTCTTGTTCTTCCAGAAAGACCCTCCTCCTGCAGAGTGCAAACAGCAGTAAGACTCGTGAACGGACAGCCACGGCACAACTCGGCTGTCCGTCGGACAATTCGACGATGTGGATGCAGGCCTAATTTCCTCGTGGACTCGCCACACTAATGCAATAGGAAACCAAACACTGTTTAGGAAATGCATGTTTGTTTATTTCTCTACTGTGTACTTTTACACAAATGACCTCCGTGTTCTCATTCATAAGTTCCAAAATTTAGCCCAGAAAATGCGTAATGTACTACGTTTTTCTTTTGACTAAGAAACCTTTTCTATTATCAAAATGTTTGCCTAGAGCTGGTGTCTGAGGTCCAGCAAAGATGCCATGTGTTTTGAATTCTTAGCATCCATTTGCAACCTTAGCCGTTTTTGCAACATAGCTGGTTTATGGACACTCCCCAGATGATATAAACTCCAAGGCATCGTCCAGTGTAGCGTCACTCAGGGTTTTTTGCCAACAAAATGAGCCTGCTGTCTTCTGGAATTTGACATAACTGAAATTTTCCGATAACGCTGTTACAATGTAGTTTATTAAAGTGTTTTGATGTGCATCGTCCTGCTCATTGGTTGCTGGACGATATGGTGTGAGGTTATAGAATTCTTATGATTTGTCTCCAGGGATGGGCGTCATCGAATTCCCAATCCTTGCGTGACGTAACGCATATCCATGCCATGCACGTTGACATGGGATTTCAACCATATTTTCTTTCGCCATGTGGTTATGTGTCGAGTTGCTTGCATTCATGCACAGAATTGCATCAGTTACAGTATTGAGAATGTTAACAAGCAGATCTTAAAGCTATTGCAGGTTTTACCTTGCGTTTGAACTGTGTGAAAGCCATAGCCTTATCTGAAACTTCTTTGGTTTGTAATGCATTGTTTCCATTTTGTACAAAATAGACAAAGATTCTATTAAATGTTGTGCGACGTGATGCCGCAAAGACTTGCTCTTTTTCTTAAAGGATTATATAAAAGTGCATAACTGTGAAATCTGACTTTACCGTTTTCACTTGGTGGATAAAGTGGGATGAACCCATATCATAAGGACCAGAAAATCATAGAAACCTGAAGGTAGGCTCTCAGTAAGCAATCACCCAGAATGCACTAGCAACCAAATATCAACGCTTTGACAACCGCCTACTGTACAACACCTCAGCAAGAACAGTGCTGTTTAAAAGAAGTCTCTTCTGCTCACCAAGCTTCCTTTTTTTAATTAAAAATACAAAATATTGTGAAATATTATTTTAATTTAAAACAGCTGTTTTCTATGTGAATATATAGTAAAGTGTAATTTATTCCTGTGACCAAAGCTGAATTGTTACTCTAGTCTTCTGTGTCACATCACAGGTGATGCTCAAGAAACATTTCTCATTATTATCAATGTTGAAATCGGTTATTTACATTTTTATTTCAGGATTATTCGACGAATAGAAAGTTCAAAAGAACATTATTTATCTGAAATAGAAAGCTTTTGTAACATTTAACATTGCCGTTCAAAAGTTTGGGGTCAGTAAGCGTTTTTATTTTATTTTGGGGGGGAAATAAAATAAATCAATACTTTTATTCATCAAAGATGAATTAAATTGATCAAAAGTTACAGTAAAGACATTTATAATGTTACAAAAGATTATATTTAAAATAAATGCTGTTCTTTTGAAATTTCTATTCATCAAAGAACCCTGAAAAAATGTGCACAACTGTTTTCAACATTGATAATAATGATTTTTTTAGCATCAAATTAGCATATTAAAATGATTTCTGAAGGATATGTAATGATGCTGAAAATTCAGCTTTGTCATCACAGGAATAAATTACATTTTAAATATATTCAAACAGTTATTTTAAATTGTCGTAATATTTAACAATATTACTAGTTTTTTTTTTTTTTATCAAATAAATGCAGCCTTGGTGAGCAGCGAGACTTCTTTTAAAAACATTAAAAATCTTACCGATCCAAAACTTTTGACTGGTAGTGTACGTTGTCCTGTTTAAGAGAAATGTAATGCTTGAAATAACCATGGAGGGCTATAATTACAATGTGAGCGCAATTAGGTGGAAATGATTGGGAAGCTGATCCCCCACAGAACCAGATTCCGTAAACTGTCAGCTATGTGTGGAATCTCAACAATGACAGCTCTAGTGCGGCGCTCATGAACTACTTCACCAATGTGAGGCGGCTTTGTGTCAAATACTTCCTGGCATTCTCCTAGTACTTTCTCAAGTGTGTAATCCGCTTGTTTAGATTCCATAAAGCGGGATCGGTTCTGTGCGGTGTCGTTCCCACTTCCGCACCTCGTGCTCTGGTTTCTTTCGGCAGTTCTTTTGTTGCTCAAAGTTATCTTAAGTCGTTGTTATACTTCAGAGTGGAATGAGCAGCATTTGTCTCCGGTGTTCACTGCTGGTTTTTTATCATCATGGAATGGTTGGAATTACATTATTGTCATTTTTCGTGAAAGCAGTTCTCTAACTTCTCACGGTGTGATATGCAAATATCGGCATGTCTCTGATTAAAAATGCCCTAAGAAATCTAAAAAATGATTAGGACTTTCTTAAATGAATACAAATTAAATTATGTAAATCACTTTTGATTTTTAGGAGGCTACAAGCTGTTCCATGTAAGGATGGTCCACCCTCATGGTGGCGGCCATGTTGGGATCACATAACCAGCTAAATACTATTTTTTTTTCTCTTTAAAACTCTTATTTTCAATAAACTTTTGATAGGTGTCAGTAAGTCTAAGACCACATCATACCACTGAAATAGACAACAAAAATGTCGTATTGTACTTTTATGGGGGTAATGATAATTGCGGTGTGGAGAAATATTTTGTGATTTTTGATGAATATGAATTACGAAATTATTTTATGGGTTGTGTGGGATTAAAGGTGCAGTGTGTAGAATTTAGCAGCATCTAGCGGTTCGGCTGCGAGTTGCACTAATGGCTCAGCCCACTGCTCACCCCTCTCTTTCGAAGAAGCTACGGTGTTTAAAACGGGACAAACATATCGTCATCTGAGACAGAAGAGAATAGCCAGAGTAAGCCAAGAGTGTGTAACATTGTCCCTGTTTCTGTACCACGGTCCATTATAAACCACATCATGGATAAAGTTTACAAAGCCATAGTCAGGTGAGGATCAAGGGTCTTAATATATAATATAATAGTAATCAGCTGATTGTCTCACAAACATAACCAGCACATTTCTCCCCACATAGCAAACCAAACCCATAATACAGCGAGGGAGAAGAACCACATGAAACTATCCAACTACATATTTTTTCTAACAGGGTAGTAAAAGTTTGTACATTGTTTATACTCTACGCGTCCACATGAGTGGCGTGTCCAGGATTTTATATTTGGGGGGGCAAGAGCAGAATGAGGGGTGGCAACTAGGCTTCCCATGATATATGTAAATAAAAAAATAAAAAAGTGTTATACTGGTTATGAGGGACATATGCTTATTTTCATGAATTTCTGATGTTCAGAGAGGGCTAACAGTAAATTCTGAACATCAGCCATTTCAACTTAAAGATGAAGGCTGTAATACTAACGTTGGATAAGAAATCTTTAAAGTACAATCATTTTCAGTCTGTTTCTAACAGTGAGAGAGAGAGATAATATGTGTGGATGAAAATGTGTGTGTATGCATATTAATGGGGTAATCATGGAAAAAAAATGCCCTTGCTTTAGTGGAGATTACTGGTAGAAACAAACACTTGTAAATAAAATAAATTGATCCCTTACTTTGTAGTCAAAGTGCATGTATTTATTCATATTGATAAAAAAGATAAGGAATCCAGAATATTTTGATTACCAAACGATAAAACTTGCATTAAATTAAATTATGCATATTCTGCAAGATGCAGTATAATACTGTAACTGATTATGAGAGTCCACTTCATTTATATAGCACATTTACAACAGACACTAGGCATAGGCTGTCGTTGCGGACAATGTCGTCGTATAGGCCTGAGCTAACGATAACTTTCCATTGATTGAAGATATTTATTGAAAATATCATAATAAGTCATTATAAGAACCACCACTCAGGTAACTTTTTTAGATTAACGAGTAAGATAGACACATGATTGACTTTACCTGTTTCTGTGCATTAAAAAGTAGCGCTGGAATGTAACGAAGTACAAATACTTCAGGACATTTTTCACGTATCTGTACTTTACTTAAGTAGAATCAATAAGTGCATGCTTTTTACTTTTACTTCGTTACATTTTGCAGCAATTATTATACTTTCTACTCCACTACATTTCTACAACGTTCTGTTACATTTTCTGATCAGTTTTTCCCCTGCCAAAACGTAATCCTGACCGTCTGTTCGTCGCACGTTTGTCTCAACGTTTGGTTGCCATAGATATATCAACCCGGTAACACTATATGCGTCTCTATAGCACGCAGTGCGTTTATCGTGCAATTTATACGCGAAAATTAGTTTTTACGTGCGGTGCATAGGAAACGCATAGGTAGGTTTAGTAGTGGTGTGGGGTGGATGTGTAAAACACGTTTGGTTAGTATTATGGCAAGCCAAGAGGTTCAGTTTTACGCATAATTTATAGAAATAAATATTTATGAGTGAAGTACAATTTCCAGAAAAACTGAATCTTTAAGTATACATAGCAAAAGCAAAACTAGTGAAACATGCACCAAATATGCACCAGAAGCTTCCTAAAATATCTGAATTTTTTTTTTTGTATACAAAAGTTCCACTGATAAAAGTAAAGTATAGTAAAAGACTTTGGACTTAAATCTGTCATAAAAATAAAACAAACTTTTATCTGATGATGTCAGGCTATTGTTGCAAGAAAATGTATACTGAAATAGTGAATCAGTTGTATTACATAGCCATTGTCTTTAGCCATAAATTGTGGTAAATATGATTTATATATGTTGTTACAATGTTATTCTTTGGCTTAGTGTGTGAATTTAATCAGCCCAGTGACAGCAGATGAAAATTATCTGTTTAAATAACACTAATTAATGTGTTGTCATTGACAAATAAATAAATACACAGTATGCATATATATATATATATTTTTTTATTATACATGCATTCATATAAGACATACTCATTTAAGATATACAATTAGTACATACGTACAATTAGTTAAATGTTAAATATTCAGGGATCCTGAGTTTTCTTCTTTGTTGGGACCCTATGGGGGCAGGTGCTTCCTTTGGGGACCCAGCAGGCACA